TGCAGAAATATGTGAACAGAGGAGATCTGCAGCTTCATCAAGATCTCTATCAAAGAAGCAGCATCATTTCCAGACAGGAAGTGTTGCTGAAGCTCTACTCTGAGCAGCGGTCAGGGTCCAGGGTTTGAGTGACAGGGCTCTGTCCACTCAGACTGGCCTCACAGGTCACAGAGCCCACCTTCCTCCACTGGTCTGCAGAGAGCCTCAGGGTGCTGCTCCAGCTGTAGTGGCCGTCCCTCCCCAGGACCTCCAGGCTGTGTGACACCCCTGAGGAGCTGCTGCTGCCCCCCACCTTCCAGCCCAGACTCCAGGTTGAGGGGAAGCCCCCGCTGGCCAGACACACCAGTGTGGCACTGTCCTTCTGCAGCTCCTCTCTGGAGGGGGGGAGGACGGTCAGGGTGGGACGCACCACACCACTGGCAGGAGAGAGGGGGGAGGAGAGAGGAGGGGAGAAGAGAGAAAAGTAATAAGGAGTGAAGGCTTGGTAACAAATACAAACTACATACTAGTAATTTTCTATATTTGATCCAATAAAACAGAATAAGTTGTGCTGCTGTTGCACTCATAAATCACTCAGTATCAGACCATCAGACACATGATTCAAGTGTAAATGCAACTAAAAAGGTTAATTGATGATGACTATTGATGACATCTTCATCTGTGTTTCATAATGTGTGACAGTGAATAACTCATCCCTGTGAGGATTTTCTTCTGTTTAAACTGACAGAGCTGAAACACTCATGTGAATACAGTTAAAACCTTTGTCATCTGTCTCTTTCACTTCCTTTTCACTACATGTAAAATGAATGAACCGTGAACACAAAGATAAGCTGCATTTAACGATAAGATCAATGTTCGTGTTTTACAGGAATCACAGTTAAAAACAGTTTTAATTTAATTATGTAAATGAATAAATTACATAGTTTTCAGTTAAACAATTTTTTTTTGTTTCTGTAAAATTTGTAATCTTAAATAACTGTTGGTTTCTGTGAGGTTTACTCTCAGATGGTGAGATCAGCCTTATTTGCTAAAATAACACAAATAATTAATACATACAAACACTAAACTGATCAGCGTCTCATTCAATATTTGACAATAATTATATTTTCTATATGTCGTATAAAATAAAAATCTCTGGTACTTACAGTCAACGATGAGTTTGGTTCCTCCACCAAA